CCCTATGGGAATCGAACCCCGCACCTATGACCTATCTATCTAAACGCTTAACGACCGCGGCTATCGAATCGACGTGAGAAATATTTTTCGACCTGTCTATATAAACTGCAACTTTGAAAAACGTAAGTTTATGTAAAATATTATAATTTTTGTAAGTACCTATAAAAATACAAGCAGAAATTAAAATATTTATAGAGATTTGCAATATATGCTATTATGTTAAAAATATTAATTAAATATTTAATAAATTTTTGCTCAAATGTCATTTGACCGCTTTGTAATTTTTTGCAAATATTTGCAAAAAATAACATTAAGCGAAATAAAAAACAGAAAATTCGTAAAAATTAAAATTCGCAAAATGACTAGGTCAGACCAGCTCAACTGTGTTAAAAGAATTTCGTTGATTTTCTAAAATGTTAAAACTTTTATGAAAATCTGTAGTTTACAACAAAACAATAAAACACTTTCAACCGTTTTTTTGAAATTTTAAATTTTTGTCATTTTTTGTTGCATTAACAAAATATTACAAAATTTAAAAAAAATTAATAACTCAAAAGCCGTTTACAATAAATTAATGAAACTTACACTATTTACACAAAATTGTTCACTCTATTAAAAGAAAATATTTGCATGATTGTAAATTTAAAAATTGCACATTTTTAATAACAATTTTATAAACAATTTAAATTATTTATGTTTTCTACCGCTCCTGTTGCAATGAAACTCATAGGAAGTATACTCAGTAGTCTCTTCTTGAAACCCAAAAAAAAATTTTTGTATTTTCAATTTGGAATGTACATAACGAATTTTTTATTAAAAACGCGCGTCTACTCCACAATGGGAAAAATTTGATTGTCGTGGAAAATTCAGTCTAGAAGTTACAAATATTATTTGTTTTTAATAATTTTTTTTAAAATGAAAGTTTATAAAATTGTGCACCCATCAGATTAAATCTGATATCTTAACTTTAAAAAATATTAATGCTACGCATTTGTTAACTAATATTTTGGAATTTTTTTTCTCTTTTGTTCATATATATTGTTAAATAAAAAAAATTAGTTAACAGTTTTCGAAATTCTACCGCCACAGATCGGTGCGCAATTTTACGAACTTTCATTTAAAAAAAAATTAAAAACAAATAATATTTGTAACCTCTAAACTGAATTTTCTACAACAATCAACTTTTTCCCACTGTGGAGTTGGCGCGCGTTTTTAATAAAAAAATTCGTTATGTACATTTTCCAAATTGAAAATACCAAAATTTTTTTTTGGGTTTCAAGAAGAGACTACTGAGTATACTTCCTATGAGTTTCATTGTAACAGGAGCGGTAGAAAACATAAATAATTCAAATTGTTAATAAAATTGTTATTAAAAATATGGAATTTTTAAATTTACAATCATGCAAATATTTTCTTTTAAAAGAGTGAACAATTTTGTGTAAATAGTGCAAGTTTCATTATTTTAGTGTAAACGGCTTTTGAGTTATTAATTTTTTTTAAATTTTGTAATATTTTGTTAATGCAAAAAAAATAACAAAAATTTAAAATTTCAAAAAAACGGATAAATTGTTTTATTGTGAACTACAGATTTTCATAAAAGTTTTAACATTTTAGAAAATCAACGAAATTTTTTTAACACAGTTGACCTGGTCTGACCCTACTATTGACAAAATTACAAATAGCAACAGTAACAAATTCATAAAAATATCAATTCCAGAAATGCAAATTCGCAAAAATAAAATTTGCAAAACAACAATTAGCAGAATTAATTATTCATAACAGAGCAGTTTTGCAAAAAATAACAATTAGCAAAAGTATCTAACAATTTGTAAAACTGTCAATTGCGAAGAATGTAAGTTTGCAAAAATAACAAATTTGCAAAATAACAGTTAACTAAAATATATATTTGTAAAAATGTAAATTTGCAATAATAATTCTTTGCAAAAATAACAATTGGCGAAAATGACAATTTTATGAATTCTAATTCGCGATTAATCAAACTCTTTAAATTTAAACTTGAAATTCCAAATAGAATGCATCCTCGATTCAAAATTAAACCAAGATGACATTAATCCTTCACTGTGCTATATAAATTTGGAGTTGGAAATTCCAAACTCAAGCTTGTTCATTTTTAATTTGACATGACAAGTGAAATTCCATGTGAAAGGAGTTTAATAGGTATTTCATCAAAACTCATAGATAGAGAGTTATAAGACGTTTCAGATAATAGGATTTGATAGAAAATGTATCCAAATCATTGATAGAGAAATGTTGGATTTTCATGTTGAAAGAATTTGATAGGTACCCAGTAAACGAAAACTAATTCAAATGAATTAAAAATAATTCACAAAGAGCTTTCGTGAATCCCGCTTTGTGACAAATACGAATTGGAGCCATGATGCAATTTTCCTGAATTCGTGAAACTGTATTTGAACTTCCGAACCTTCTATCCGTACCAATTCACTGGACAAGTTTTGAGCCTTTAATTTTTTTCAATTCGTTAGCACGAATTCAATGCATTCCTTGGCCATTTCTTTCGAATGCGAATTCGGTTGGACAAATTGGTACATATTGAATTAAATTCAATTGAATATACAAAGAGCTTGAGTGAATCCTGCTTTGTTACAAATACGAATTGGAGCCTACCAAAAATGTTAATTCGTTTCAATTCATTTGAATTAGTTTTTTTTTACTGGGTATTCAATCAAAACTCATTGATAGAAAACTATAAGATATCTAGGGTCATAGGATTTGATAGAATTTGTATCCAAATCTTTTGATAGAGAAATAATGAATTTTCATGTGGAAAGAATTTGATAGATATTTAATCAAAACTCATGAATAGAAAACTATAAGAATTTTCGACTCATAGAATTTGATAGAATTTGTATCCAAATCTTGGATAGAGAAATATTAGATTTTCATTTGGAAAGAATTTGATAGATATTCAATCAAAACTCATGGATAGAAAACTATAAGAATTTTCGACTCATAGAATTTGATGGAATTTGTATCCAAATCTTAGATAGAGAAATATTAGATTTTCATTTGGAAAGAATTTGATAGATATTCAATCAAAACTCATGGATAGAAAATTATAAGATTTTTCGACTCATAGAATTTGATAGAATTCGTATCCACTCTTGATAGTAAAATATTGAATTTTAGTATATTATTAACTTTGATAGATAATACATCAAAACTTATGATAGGAATGGATTTAATTTTCTACTTTGGATAGAAGTGGATTGGATTTTCAATATTTGATTAAATTGGATTCGATTTTTAAGGAGTGAAGGAAGAAAATTCTATCAAATCCTATCCATTTTAATAATTTTTTTAAACAGGGATGAGCTAACTGACTTTTTAAAACAATTTTTCCGATTTGCATAAACATTTTATTATTCTTTTATATTAAAAAAATTTTTTTATTGTTCTTTTTAATTTTTTTGTTGATACCTGGACCGATTCTGAGGAAATCAAGTCCAACCCGGTTAAAAATATTAATATTTAAAAAAGTTACAGTAGTTTTTGTAAGTGGGACATATATGTCCCGCAGGCGTTAAAGGGTTAAGATATTTTGTAGTCATTTTTAAGATATTTTGGTAGACACTTTTTAGTTACTTGAAACATCTTAATTTAATATGTTAAAAGTATCTTCGTACACATTTTCTGTGGTATTTTTGGGGCAAAAAGTTTTGAGGTTAACTATGGACTCTTATGGAAAACACTTTATGTATCTTAGTTTTTAGTAACTTACACTTATGGCGCATCTTACGATTCTCAAGTAACTTATCGCTAAACATCTTATTGCAACAGAAGCATCTTAATTTAAGATACTTTAAAGAACTTACAAAAGTATCTTACTTTTCTAAGATGGAAGAAATATCTTCATCACTTAAGATGTAAGATACCATTTTTCCATCTTACATCTTATTTTAAGATATCAAAAATAGATAGATACTGCCTATTTTTGCAGTGTACAAGTGCATGTTCTTGTACACGTTCTTGTTCATGTTCTTTGTTCCAATTTCTTTGACAAGTTCACTTGCTAATCTTGTGTAGGTTCGGGTCAATATTTTCCTGTACATGGTCTTGTGCAACATCGTGTACACGATCTTGTACACGACTTTTCAGCTGGGGACACTCCATCAGAAATATCACAATTTGCATGGGTCTTCGGATTATTCTGTAATTTTGTGAAATTGTTATATTTGATAAGAAAAATAAATGTACCAATGGATTTTTCAAAATTTTCAAAATTGTGGAAGTTACGCCATATTGCATTTTTTGATAAGATTTTTTTTTAAATGCTGAGATTGTCAACTTAGCGCCACTAACAAAGTATACTTTGCAGGTGCACAGTACCCCACATGAAATCAATAATATACTCAAAAATCGGTCCCGTCCCAGTAAACGAAAACTAATTGAAATGAATTAAAAAGAATTCACAAAGAGCTTTCGTGAATCCCGCTTTGTGACAAATACGAATTGGAGCCATGATGCAATTTTCCTGAATTCGTGAAACTGTATTGAACTTCCGAACCTTCTATCCGTACCAATTCACTGGACAAGTTTTGAGCCTTTAATTTTTTTCAATTCGTTAGCACGAATTCAATGCATTCCTTGGCCATTTCTTTCGAATGCGAATTCGTTTGGACAAATTGGTACATATTGAATTAAATTCAATTGAATATACAAAGAGCTTGAGTGAATCCCGCTTTGTAACAAATACGAATTGGAGCCTACCAAAAATGTTAATTCGTTTCAATTCATTTGAATTAGTTTTTTTTTACTGGGGTGCATAGTAAATCAATTAAAAAAAAATTCTTTACTGTATTTTTGTAAAATAATAAGGTAAATGTCCCAATTTGTAGGTCTTAATGGACAGTTCCAAAAGTAACCAATAATGACGTTTTGTAAATTTAAACTGTCAATAATAAGGAATTTAGTAGGTATTTAATTAGGTAATTTTTTACAAGAAAATGTAACTTTTTTAGGGATACACAAAACCACGAGAATATATTGTAACGGAATGGCCACTCCGTCACACGTGTGGTGAATTTTGGTCTTTGGTTTATGATTATGAATGCGCGGCAGTCGTGGTTTTATGTGTACCACCTCAGGGATCAACTAATTTCCCCACATTTTGGCCAGAAGGTAGACATTCCAAGAAATACGGACCAGTTTTCACGATAGATCACATCAGTCATAATCATTACACCAACATTAAAACATGGGTAAGCTTGTTCAATATAAAATGAAATATAATAATGATTCCTTTTACAATATGAAATTATTTCGAAAATACTTACTATAATTTACAGGTATTTAGGATAAACAAGAAAATTGTTTCACTAACGGAACTAATGGCAGGCGTAAAGGCGCCGCCAAAGACTGTGCAACTATTTCAATTAACTTGTTGGCCAATGGGACATAAGGTGCCAACATCAACAAATAGTCTTGTTGAATTGATGAATATGGTGGAGAGATGGAGACAGAGGACAGTTTATGGACCCGTTGCAGTTGTCTCGCCTGATGGTAGAAGTCGTGTTGGGGTTTATTGTGCAGCCAATGCCTGTATAGAACAAGTTATTCAGCACGGCGAAGTTGACATTTTCCAAGCAGTTAAAACTGTACGCAGGCATCGACCTCAACTCGTGGAAAACATGGTAATACTCTCTCTTAAAATATTTTCTATTATCTGCGTTTTATTTGAAAGTTAAATTACAAACCATTTTTAATGTGATATTTTACTTCGCAGAATAGACCTTATTTTCTTTTCGCAATTGCTCGTTTGACAATCCAAAGTTAGATTCCTGAATTATCGATATTTGTCAGGTTTGATTTTACTTCCATCGTCGGTAACTGAATTCGCTATTAGAATTTTTAATTGTATTACAAGAATTTAAAAATTAAAAGAACCTTATAAATTATTTTCCATGAGAAATTTATAATGTGAAGTAAGTTTTGATTTCATGTTTTGCAAAACTTTTCTCATTACTCGACCGAGAACTCTTGGTACTCTTCGTCAACTTGATTGTAGCTTCAAAGGAAGTTTGTGTTTACTTGGTTACCATAAACTATATAGTCTTGACCAAGCTTCAAAACTTGTTTACATTTGAGTCTAATTAATATAAACTATTTCACCTTTGAAACATTCTAAAAACATTTATCACCTTCATACAATATTCATCATGTGGATAATTGAAATTATACACTACATTTTCTCAAGTATTGTGTTTATTCAGTTTTGAAGTTACATTTTCCGATTATATTAATTATACGTTTGCTGAATAATAATGAAAATTTCTCATTATTCAGAGAAACTAAAAATAAATTTAATAATATTCGCCAAAATTTAAACATTACGATATTTTAAATTTTTAGCTAAAGCTGTCGTTAGAAGTGCAGTTTTTTTTTGATTTAATGGCTTTTTGCAAAGCAGATAGCCAAAACACAAATGCAGTTTTAAAATTGTCTAATCGTTACTAAGCACACTCTAGTGCTATAATTTGAGAGGGAGGGGGACTCCCTACCCTGATATGGACGCTCACGCGCGCACACATGTACACGGGAACAAATTTTGACTGTACTTGACTGCGTGAAATCGCCATGCACGCAAATTGTCATACTGGAAATTTGTTCACTGATATTATCGGCCCTATAGGATTGCGTTCCAAATTCCACCCGAGAGCACCAAAGTGCACTTTTCATTTACTTTGGCAAGTTCCGCCTACTTTCTTGATTCACTTCACGGGTGCTCCCGGGTGGAATTTGGAACTCAGCCCAGGAAAAAATATATACCCTCCATGCTCTCCGTGTTAAAAATTTTGTTTACATAGTTTTTTGGTTATGTACCAAATTGATAATGACAATAAAACAATAGTAAAATGAGTTGTTTTATAATAAATTGCATGTAAAGTTATAAGGTCATGGTCCCAATTATGGAACGCTTTTTAAGCTACCCTGTAAAAAAAAAGAATTGGGTGGTCCGGGATTTCGAATTGGGATGTCGTTTCTTGAATTCGAGAAAACGACTTTTTCGAATTGGACTGATTTCTGAATTCAGAAATGTATGGTTCCGCGATCAACCCAATTCGACAGATATTTTAAAGATGAAAATAAAGAGTTTAACACTTCACTGGACATTGAACAGTAGTTAATTGAGACGGTGCACGTTATTCACGTAGGTGAATACATTTCTTTAAGCAATAATGTTAATTTTCAATAAAATAGAGAGAATTAAAAATTTGATGTGGTCTTTGTTTACAATAGAAAAAGTTTTCTACTTTTAGGGTTATTAAAACAGCTTACTTACCGACAGCTAAGAAGTATTATGATAACAAATCAAATGATGATTTCTATACGAAAGTATCATTTACGTCGGTAATTGAATATTAATAAATTAATTTTAAATTTTTGTTTTTTAAATGCATTTAAAAGTCAACAAGTTTGCTATGCAAGTTTAAAAAAAGTCTATTTTACTTTACGAGGAATTTTTCTTTCAACATTTTTAGTTTTGTTTCTGAATAAATAATGAGAAGAAATTTACTTCCGTGAAGGTTTGTTGTTCTAGGACATTTCGATTTCAACTTTGGTGCTCATTTTAGTCTCCATAATTTTTTTTAAATTTGATTAACAAAACCTTATTTTTTAAAAAGAATTTGCTTTACTGTTCAGCTTGATTTGATTTTTTTTATGTTAATCAAGAAATGTTAAATTAAATATAAATTTCTCTTTAGTTCAAATGGAGCAAATTACAATAATTGTATCATAAAAATAAATGAGGCTAAAGCAGAATTATTTTTCTTTACTCTTTATTTCTCTTGTGAATATTTACATTTAGGAATCATCTATATTAAGTATATTTAAGAGAGCATCATTGTTGTCATCGAAATGTATTAAAATAAAATATTTTTTTCATACTGAATAAAATTTATTTTTATAAAACTTCAGTGTCACAGGAACCAGAAGGAGAAAATTTATGAATTAACATTTTATGCAGAAATTTTTTTTAAATTTATATATAAACGTTATTTTAATTGTTTAACAAGATTTTAAATAAACGAAATATTTTAACATTATTTACTTATACTTAATTTAATCCTAATTTATAAAATTGAAGAATAAATAATTTAAAAACGGTTTTATTATGAAAATCAAGAAAAGAAATTATTTTTTTGTTGATTCAAATAAATTGTTTTAAAATTATTATTTTTATAACAAACATATAATTATATTTTGAAAAAAATATTAATTACAGTAATTATTGTAAATTTTTTTTAAATATTCTTAATAAAAAATTTTTAATCCGTTTAAAAATTTAAAATTAATTTATTAATATTCAATTACCGACGTAAATGATACTTTCGTATAGAAATCATCATTTGATTTGTTATCATAATACTTCTCAGCTGTTGGTAAGTAAGCTGTTTTAATAACCCTAAAAGTAGAAAACTTTTTCTATTGTAAACAAAGACCACATCAAATTTTTAATTCTCTCTATTTTATTGAAAATTAACATTATTGCTTAAAGAAATGTATTCACCTACGTGAATAACGTGCACCGTCTCAATTAACTACTGTTCAATGTCCAGTGAAGTGTTAAACTCTTTATTTTCATCTTTAAAATATCTGTCGAATTGGGTTGATCGCGGAACCATACATTTCTGAATTCAGAAATCAGTCCAATTCGAAAAAGTCGTTTTCTCGAATTCAAGAAACGACATCCCAATTCGAAATCCCGGACCACCCAATTCTTTTTTTTTTACAGGGTAACTAAATTTCTATGATAAATTTTTTGGAATCAGGAGTGTTAATATGAATAATTTGTGTATAGATTGAAAGGTTGGTACTTTGTGAACAGTATTTAGGCCCTAAAATATTAATTTTTCATGAAATAAAATTAATATTAATTAAATGGTGAAACCCTGCACTAGTACCGATTATGAAACATCTATTTTATTCAATAAGTAATTAAAATTGTATTGACTTATATCAATAATTTGAATATTAACTATAATGAATGAAATAAAAAGAACAAATTCTAGTTAAATAGGTAATTATAAAATCAATTTTTTTGGTAGAAAAGCAATGCGAAAATAGTGAAAATATTTGAGGTTGTGTTTGCTGTATATTTTCTGTCTGTTCCATCAATCGGAACATGCAAATAATAAGTGTACCTAATGTGAAACGGTAGTTTGACGGAAAACCTGGCTAAAATGCAATTAAACATTTCTTATTAAACTAAATACTATACAGAAATAATAATTCTTATATCGTGTAAAATTTATTCAAATAACTAGAATTTTCTTATCGCCAATTTTAATTGCATTTATTTTAATTTTTGTAATACTGTTCTATAATAGGGACAAAAATATGAAAGCGTTTCATAACTGGAACCTTTACCTTAATGGAGCGTTCAAAACTCTGCAGCCTGCCTGCAGGTTGCCATGGTAACGTACAAGAGCAAGAGAATCAGTGAATTCAAAAATAAAGCACTTTCTCTCTTACTCTTGTTGCTCCTGCCTGCGCAGGCAGGCAGCCTGCAGAGGTCTGAATACTCCTTAAAGAAAATAAAAATGCTTCTGGAAAAATAGTTTTTTCAAAGCACCGAAAAATCATAAATATATTTAATATACAGTTTTGTAAGGATAAAAGTTTTTATACTTTTACTAACAGACACTTATGAATTTAATGTAAAGAATTTTTGGTTGTTCACTTGGAGTCCTTTCTATTTATATAACACTAGCTGTAGTACCCGTCTTCGACGGGTTTTAGTTTCTACCAATACATTTAACAGTATATCTACCAAACTCAAAAACAGGGAAATTACTATTTGAATCAGTGACTGACTTTTTATTATCAAATTGGTTATTTTTTGTTAGAGATTTGAAATATCTCGTTGAAATAAAACTTCACATTAAGAGAAATATAATATAGTATTTATATTGTGTTTAGAAATATAGCGTAGGTCACACATATTTTGGAGTAAAGCAGTTGCTTACGAACGCTCGTAGAGTAAACACGATTTGGTCTCAGTTTGCCAATAAAGTCTTACTTTATATTAAACTATTCGAACTTGTTTTATTTAAAACCTCAACAGGTTATGGGCCCAGTTCCCAAATAAAGTTGTGAAATAGTTTTTTTTTACTTTCATTTTTAAGTGATTTTTATGCAGGGAGTAGTGTTTTTTTCAAAATGGATTCTATTCACTACAAAGCGGAAAAACTTCGTGACAAAGATAACTGGCATTAGTGGCGATTTGTGATTCGCACTTTGTTAGAAGATGATGAAGATTTATTGGCTGTGTGTGAAGGATTATTGGTGCGACCGGTGGCTGGTGCGGAACAATATGTTGAAAACCTGCAGAAATTCGAGAAAGCTGATAGGGCGACAAGAAAATTGATTGTTACAACTGTTAAAAAGAAACCCTTAGATCTTCTCCTAAGCTGTAAAACCGTGAGGGAAATTTTGTCCGAACTAAATGCAGCCTACGACTTGAAATCAGATGAAAATTTGGCTCTAGTGCAAAAACAATTTTTTGAGTGCAAGTGGGATTTGAGTGAGAGCGTTACTCATAATCTATCTAAAATTGAGCAGTAAGCATCAAAATTGAAAAGTTTTGATGAAGAAATTCCAAATTCTTTACTTATTGCACGTGTTCTAT